AACAACGTTCACAAAAAAAAAAATATATATATATATTGTAAAGCTAATTTAAGGAGTATTTCAGAATAAAACGTTCCGTTCGCCACAGCCATAGGCCCTTAAAGTACCCCCTTTCTTTGGACCTACATGTGTGGGGGGAGCCGTTTAAGGCAACTCCGCATGAGACAAGACGACAGTTTTTGTTCGCAGTCCTAAGGAGACTGCAAGGGAAACTTGCGCTGGAGAACTGCTTGACCACCAAGGGTTGCCAGGAGCGCACGGAGCGCAGTTCTCGTACCTGCAGAGGAGTCGAAGCCAGCGCCGAACACTGAGTACGGATGGAGTCGCAGCCAGCGACAAGGAGACGCAGCCAGAAGTTCAGGAAGCGCAGCCAGCGGCAGATCAGGAGACCGCAGCCAGCGGTTAGGAGGCGCAAGGGGCGCCAAGCATCAGCGGCCGCAGCCAGCGGCACAGGTACACAGGTCCGCCATTTTGGAGCGCTGGGCAGCGCCATATTAGGAGGAGTTCCCGGCTAAACGGAGGGGAAGCCACCTCTACAACAACGCGAGCGGATCAGCAGCCAGCAAGTAGTAGTGGAGCAGAAAACCGGCCGCGGGTGGACATAACCACGGCGGTGGCCATTTCTCGCCCAGCCACTACGGCGACTACAGCGTCCCAACCTAGGAGTACTGCTGTCACAGCTGCGAGTTCAGAGCCGGAGGTGGGCCAGCCACTCACGGCGTACCAACAGTGGAGCGTTGGAGCGACCGCCATCTTCGAGCGAACCGCCATTAGCCACAGAACGGTGAGGCCCCAACTAACAAGGTCGGGCCGGTGTTGGTAACATAGCAGTGTTGGTGCGAGCTTTGCGGCCTGCGCGCTGCCGCCATCTTGGAGTGGGAAAAAGCGTAATAACTTCAACAATTTTCATAATTTCGTAATGAAATTGGTCTTGTTTTATTCAGGATTAATGAGACAATATTGATATGTGTTAAGAATGATACCGTTTCTTGGAAGTTGTACCGAAAAAATGGCGTCAAAGTTTGAAAAACATGACAAAATTTCAGTTTCTTTTGTAAAATTTGTATCCTTTCTGTTTAAATAAATTAAAGATGTATTTTTTTTTTCAAAAGCTACACCATTTAACTATTCAAAAACGTAAAAAAATTGAAAATCGGCCTAAAATTACGCGTTCAGGAATTTTTAAGAGCAAAACACTTTTGAAAAACCGTTTTTTCGAAATAAATCAAGATTTGAGGGTGTATGAAAAATTTCAAACATGGTTTTATACTATACTCGACCTAATGAACAATTCCTACTAGGTCTCTTCAAAAGTTTTTCCAACTTTTCTTTTTTTGTCGCACTGTGTTATTTAGACTGTTGTGCTACGAGCAGCTGTATCACCATGTTCTGGTTTTGAACAAGCGTTTGCATGGTCGTTTTAATGAATGACATAAGCTCCATCATGCTTTGTTGGAGGGTAAACATCATAGTTTCCGTTTTGCTGTGGTGGTTTTCGTTGGTGGTGTTTAGTGGACCGAATGAGGATCTCGCAGCTTTGGCGAAGAAGACGTCTGGCGTAGTTTTTGACGCAATGTACGCATTCTGTGGATTTTGGTTGCGCGTTGCGGTCGCTTGACGCATGCGATTCTTTAACCACTTATACACCATACATCCTCTATAGTTTGCCGTATGGTTGCCTCCGCAGTTTCCACATTTCTTCACGGTACTGTCCTTGTTTGTAGTGCAGTAAGAGGACTTGTGGGCGTCCCCGCAGACTACACAGACAGCCCGAAGTGTGCAGTAAGACCTTGTGTGTCCATACTCTTGACAATTAGTGCATTGCACTGAACCGTTGCCTTTATGTGGCTCTTCAACAGTGATTTTCCGATGCAAAAGATATTGCAGGTTGTAGATTGGGTGGACTTCGGTCTTCTTCAGCGACCTGCTTTCTGGCTCGAGCTCGACCTTGAAGTGGGGTTTTGGCTTTTTATCTTTATTTAGAATGTTAATAACATTCTTGGCGGCGAAGCCCTTTTCTTTAAGGTCGGTTTTTATTTCCGCGGCGGTAACATCAGGTTCGATCCTCTATACTACCACTTGTAGACCCTTACTGCTTTTCAGCTGGTACGTGTAATACTTTTTCTGTACAGGGTCCAGATATTTGGACACGATTCGGAAGTGCTCTTCAGTTTTGGTTTGCACCTTTGTTTCGTGGATGTTCCCTTGGATAAGCGGAACAACATGAAAGTTGTCACCGTTCCCGATCAACGACGCAATTTTGTTGACCAGGGCACTTCCACTTTCCGAAGTTGTTGTTTTTGTACTCGCTGTAGTCGTTGACGTCGCGGTACTTTGAGTTGCAGGGGTTGTCGCTGTGATTGCAGAAATTGTAGCATTGCTAGTTGTTGTTGCGAAATTTGTTTCCGACATTGGAGGGGGGGTTTTACACTGCAAACTCCATGACGCGGGGTGAGCAAGACCGTGCCCTTTGGGTTTCAGCGGTCAGAAAAGTCGGGTTGCTCTTAATCGCCGATTTTTTCACTTCGGTATCTCGGGTTGAAAAGTAAGAGTAGAATCCGTTTCTTTGGTTCATTGAACTTCTACGCTCGTTCTTTTGATCGTTTCTCAATGAGCTCATTGCGTGACACTTATTTTTTTTAAACAATGCACTAGTTTTCGTTTAGCATATCACAACTGTTATAAAAAGCTTGTCTATTGCTTTTAATAAATTGTAGTTGAGCGTCTTTTGGCTTATATTGGGTTACCCCAGTTTTTTGATTAGCTGTATTATGGTGCAGTTTTCCCGGAGCTCGGACAAAGCACGTCCGCTCAGTTCGGTAGTTCGATGGGCTTTACAATTCAAATCTTAATCTTCTTCTTACCGAAGTGTACCCTTCTACAATTTACAAGACAGTGAAAGGGTACTTTTTCGGCGGCATTCACATAACCGCGATTAGTAAGCCCGTACTTCAAAGGGCCAATATCGGATACCTTAAAAATGCTACATTTCTATTAATACTGATTTAACTATCGATTACAATGTTTTCACCGTCGACAACCATGTTTAATCAAATAACGGAACATTCTGCAAAGGGAAAATAAAAATATTGGTAATTTCAAGATCTTTAATTTTTGGTTATACCACAACCTATTTCATACAACGAAAATGGACGAAAAAATTTCTTGCGACAGCCTGTCGCCGACCATGATACAATAACACTAGTTAGAAAAATGAAACTTTGTGCGCTGGTATCGAAACGAAATCGCCCGCACACATACACCCGTTTATGTGAATGTGTGACACGCATTCATACAAAGATCAATCCAAGCGCAGACCAACCTTCTTCATCACGCTCCTTTCCGAGATAGAACAACAAAAAGCATTCAATGAGAATATGAGCGTAAGATGAACGAACGGGGAGCGTAAGAAAGAGAGTTAGATTTCGCTCTGGGGCCTGTCGAAATACATTTTTGCGTCCATTATCGTTGTATGAAATGGATTGTCTGTATGCTGTATAGTTAGTGGTAATACTAAGGTTTTTTTTTTGAATTTGAATTTTTATTTTTATAAAATTTAATTGATAATTAGTATTATTTTTATTATACCCTTGCAGAGGGTATTATAATTTTGTCCAAAAGTGTGCAACGCAGTGAAGGAGACATCTCCGACCCTATAAAGTATACATATTCTTGATCAGGATCACCTCCTGAGTTAATATAAGCATGTCCGTCTGTCTGTCTGTTTCTACGCGAACTAGTCTCTCAATTTTAAAGCTATCGACTTGTAACTTTCCACACGCCCTTTCTTTGCACGCAGTATATAAGTCGGAACGGCCGGGATCGGCCAACTATATCCTATAGCTGCCATAAAACTCGTTGATCGGAAATGGCCGAACTTTTGTATTTTTGAAGATACAATGCTGGAACTTAGTACAGATTATATTTTTTGTCAGATAATCCGACCTACCAAATTTCATAACGATTGGTCGACTATATCTTATAACTGCCATATAACTGCACGACCGGAAATGGTTTTTGGTAGAAATACCAACTTTGGTATTTTTGAAGATAGAAGCTTGGAACTTTTTTTTTGATATTTTATTGTAATTAATTGGTTTTATTATGATATTCTCATAAGGATCGGAAAACTATATCCGATGTTTGCGATACATATCCGGTCTTAGCTGCAAGGGTATATCAACTTCGGCTCCGTCCGAAGTTCGATTTTCTTTATTGTTAATGTTCATGAAATCTTATTTTTTATTTCCCACAAGTGTGATTTTCACTACACTAGTTGTGTTTTTAACTACTTGCGCCGTATCGCTTTGGAGATCCGATGGCTGAATTCCAGCCCAAAGATTTTTCATAAACATTCCGATGTAAGGCCTCGGACAGTCCTACGCTAAACAAAAAACGCACTTATTGCTCGATGCCAATTCTCAATCCCTCTGTCCCTTACCATTTGGGGGGAAACAACAGAGGATTACGATTTTTAAACTGGGCTCTTTTTTACCCAGCTCGCAGTCTTATGTTTTTAGCTACCCTGAGAATTTTTATTTTTTTGAAGCCACTTATAGGTGCCAGTTTAAAACCTTAGTCTCTTACCACAGGGGGAAAACTTCAGGGTGTCTCGAAGGACCAAATGTTAGGAGCAGCCCCAGATAAAGGTCTTACTCCAATTAATTCCGTTTAGAAACTTTTTTTATTTTGTAAAATTCCCCTATAAGAAAGATACATAAAAATATATGAAATAAATCTATTTAAAACTACTTATCAACGCACTTCACGCTGACATGCTATGCGACCTTTCTTTATGTCCTATAAGCGCACCACTTATGTACTGCATTTAAAACCATGCTGTTTATCTCCAAGGGTCCAATCCTTTGAAACGTTATCTTTAAAATTTATATATTATATCGTGTTCAATGCTTGAGCAGTATGCTTTGGCCCGTATCTTACTTTTTTCTAAAGATTAATGTTCTTGAATTTTATAACTTAAGTTGTATTCCCTTTATTAGATTTGTGACTTTGGATTAGCGCGAATCGCCGATCCCGAACACGATCACACAGGATTTTTAACCGAATACGTAGCAACCCGATGGTATCGGGCTCCTGAAATTATGCTTAACTCAAAAGGATACACTAAGTCCATTGATATTTGGTCAGTTGGTTGCATTTTAGCAGAAATGCTAAGTAATCGACCTATATTTCCTGGAAAACATTACTTGGATCAACTTAACCACATTCTTGGCGTGCTGGGTTCACCATCTCGTGAAGACTTGGAGTGCATTATTAATGAAAAGGTAATTAAATTGAATTTCATAATGTAAATAAAATTAATATTTGTTTTAGGCGCGCAATTATTTAGAATCATTACCATTTAAACCGAATGTACCGTGGTCCAGGCTTTTTCCTAATGCTGATGCATTGGCCTTAGATCTGCTCGGAAAAATGTTGACTTTCAACCCGCACAAGCGAATTCCTGTAGAGGAAGCACTCGCACATCCTTATTTGGAGCAGTATTATGATCCTGGAGATGAGGTAAATTTTAAGACCAAGGGTAATATGGATAAATTATCTTAAATTGGCCATGGGGTGCTATTGGGTAAATTGGGTATTTTGTAATACATATATTTAAGAGTATAAAGAAGGAGTCCATAAGGGCCATTTGGCCCCATTTCAAGACTTGTTTCGCTACGTGCTCCGTGGCACGTAGAATATTTCATGCTTCAAGGGAACAACAGTCACTAGCAAGTGACGCTCCAATTCATTGGCACTCAAAGTCAAGTACAATTAAAACTAATGGCATATTTAATAATATTTATAAATTGGTCATTTGAGAAATAATTATTTCATCAACGGTGGAAGTTTATGTAGGTTTCCATATTGTTGAGCTGGATAGGTGTTCCTTACAGATGTATTTCGGAACTGTGAAATTTTCACTGCACTTATTTCATTTTCACAAAAAACAAGAAAGGAAAGCTGACTTCGGGCGGAGCCGAAGTTGATATGCCCTTGTAGTCAAACCGGATATGTATCGCAAACATCGGATATAGTTTTCCAATCCTTATGAGAATATCATAATAAAACCAATTAATTACAATAAAATTTCAAAAAAAAAGTTCCAAGCTTCTATCTTCAAAAATACCAAAGTTGGTATTTCTACCAAAAACCATTTCCGGTCGTGCAGTTATATGGCAGTTATAAGATATAGTCGACCAATCGTTATGAAATTTGGTAGGTCGGATTATCTGACAAAAAATATAATCTGTACTAAGTTCCAGCTTTGTATCTTCAAAAATACAAAAGTTCGGCCATTTCCGATCAACGAGTTTTATGGCAGCTATAGGATATAGTTGGCCGATCCCGGTCGTTCCGAATTATATACAGTGTGCAAAAGAAAGAAGGGTGCGTGCAAAGTTTCAAGTCGATAGCTTTAAAACTGAGAGACAAGTTCGCGTAGAAACAGACAGACAGACAGACGGACCGACGGACAGACGGACATGCTTGTATTAATAAAGGAGGTGATCCTGATCCAGAATATATATACTTTATGGGGTCGGAGATGACTCCTTCACTGCACACTTTTGGACAAAATTATAATACCCTCTGCAAGGGTATAAAAAATCCCAAGCTTCTATCTTCAAAAATACCAAAGTTTGTATTTCTACCAAAAACCATTTCCGATCCTTCAGTTATATGGCAGCTATAAGATATAGTCGGCCGATCATAGTCGGCAGAAATTTGTTAGGTCGAATTAACTGACCAAAAATATAATCTTAACTTAGTTCCAGATTTTTATTTTCAAAAGCACGAAAGTTTGGTCATTTCCGATCGTTCAGTTATATGGCCGTCCTATAGTCGGCCGATCCTTATGAAATTTGGCGTGTCGTATTATGTTGCCAAAAATGTTTGTAAGGTATTTGTCATAGTATAATAATGAAGTGGTGCTTCATGATAGTATTTGATAGTATTCTTGTTGAAGTGGTGCTATATTTTTTCCCAGCTGTATGTGTATTTATTATATCCCTGCAGTACTCAAAATCATATCGCTACCTTTTGAGAGCCGTTACATAAAATTTTGAAAATCCCAAACAAATCATGAATTAATAACTAAAAAAAAGTTGGCGAACCAATGTCGGCCCTCTGCTGCCACTGAATTTCTAAGCTATGCCGATTCGATATTTCCCGCCAGAACCACTCAGCCCTGAAACACGCATGAATAAATGCCGGTAAAACTCGGTGAACAAGCGGAGCTGCATTTTGTACCCAATTTTTTGAAAATTTCCTCGTGGGCCTGCATTGACTTATAGGCCTGAGTCAGTACTGATTTTAGATTCGATTCAGGAGTGAAAATATTTTTCAAACCAGAGATGAATCAAACACGAAAAAGAATGCTGAAAAATAATAACAATTATACCTGAAAAAAGAAGGCAGAGTCACCCTTTTTTGATTTTAGCAATCAGGCCTGATTCAGCCTTCTTTTCAGGCCTGATTGCTAAAAAAAAAGGCTAAGTGAAGCCTCATTTATGGCCTAGAATCATTTTAAATAGTTTTTATACTTACTTTTTGCGGGGTGAAAATGTTTAATTTTGTTTTTATTTATAGATATTTAGTGAATTTTATTTATCAAATGTCTTAAATAAAATTCAAATGTTAAGTAACGTAAATATATTAAAGTAAATATTTTAACATCTTACACTCCGGTGGGAATCAAACCTTCGGGCTTTTGTTTATTGCATTGACATGCATGCCTCTAAGCTTTTGCGCTGTCTTTACGCGTAGGTTGGTCCTAAAAACAATATGTTTATAAAAATTTTGTTCTTATGAAACAATTTTTGAATAATTTTTTAATATAACATTTTACTTTGAGACTGCGGTTTAAAAAAATTAATTAAAGTAAAGAAAATTTAATTCATGAAACCGGTCCCTTTGCTGGAAATTGAACCCAAGACCTTTTATTTATAGCTACCAAGCATTTTCCGTAACTGCAAAATAATGTTCAAAAATTCCCTTCCAAGAATAATCACGATATTAATCACGATATAGGTCAGAATAAGAGGAGTCGGCCGAATAATATCGACCGGAACAGGAAACGAAACGAGAGAGTGCAAACAAGCATGACGATCCGAACAAGACGGCCAGTTTCGGTTGCCAGTCGATTGAAAGGAAGAGGGAGGGAACGGTGGCGCTATATCAGGCACTTCGGTTAAGTTTGCAAAGCTTGGTCTAAGTTGCACGAATTATGCACCCTCACCACCCTTCCCCCCTGGAAATACACACAGGGTTTTCAATATCCTCTCGAAGGGTCATCCCGTCTCATTAGCTGATAAGCTTAGCGGCAAATTCTTTGCCGACGACTGAATATTGGAACAAACAATCCAACCGATGTTTGTGCCAGGTTTGTCGCAGAGAAGCTTATAAAATAGGCTCGTGCCGATCATCATATCTATGTTTTGAGGACTAACCATACAGCATATAGACAACCCATTTCAACAACAACGAAAATGGACGCAAAAATTTCTTGTGACAGGGCCCAGAGCGAATTTTTACTCTCTTTCTTACGCTCATCGTTCGTTCATCTCACGCTCATACTGTCATTAAATGCTTTCTGTTTCTCAGTCTCGGTGCGGAGCTCGATGAAGAAGGTTGGCCTGCGCTTCGGTTGATCTTTGTATGTATGCGTGTCACCCATTCACATACACGGGTGTATGTGTGCGTGCGATTTCGTTTCGAAGCCAGCGCACAAAATTTTGATTTTTCTTACTTTTCAGGCTTGCTACCCGAACAAAATTCGGGTATTCGTGATTTTGGTGAAATGAAGAAAAAAATAATATTATTTGTTATATTAAATTTTTAATATTTCAGCATGCATCTTAAATTTATTTAGGCCAGACGCTGTGTCAGCAGTTTGGCCAGAGCGAGCTCTTAAATAACCGGACATTGCCACATCCGTTAACTTCAGTTAACTTATATATTCTTGATCAGGATCACCTCCTGAGTTCATATGAGCATGTCCGTCTGTCTGTCTGTTTCTACGCAAACTAGTCTCTCAGTTTTAAAGCTATCGACTTGAAACTTTGCACACACACTTCTTTCCTTTGCACGCAGTATATAAGTCGGAATGGCAGCTAAATATCCTATAGCTGATCGGAAATGGTAAATCTTTGGCGTTTTTAGAGCTAAAGAGTCGGATTTTGCATGAGTGCTATTTTTGGTAAATTAATATGATTTATCAAATTTCATAAGGATCGGCGTCTATATCCTATAGCTTCCATTTAACTGAACGAACGATAATGACCCAACTTTCGTGTTTTTAAAGATAAAAAGTTGGAACTTCGTACAGATTATATTTTTGGTCAGTTGATTTGGACCAAATTGTATAACAATCGGCCGACTATATCCTATAGTTTTGGTATTTTTGAAGATAGAAGCTTGGGACTTTTTTTTAGCTTTATTGTAATAAATTGGTTATATTATGATATTTTCACAAGTTTCGACCAACTATATTTGATGTTTCCGGTTTTAACGATAAGGGTATACATATATACATACGTCGGATTCGCCCGAAGTTAGCTTTGCTTTCTTGGTTTTTATAAAATTTGAGGTGCCTCAAATATAGATATTGCTGGGGTAGGAGGTCATTAAAACCAGGTTTTGGTTCTGAACGGGATTATTTGGATGCATGATAAATTTATTTCGGTAGGTCGCTTTAATCTTTGATATTTTCTCTGATATCCCGACGGGTGTCGGTTCTCTTTGAATGTGACTAGCACGTGAAATGTTGTTAACTTAAGAGATACACAGAATACATTTTATTAATTTTAAAACTTTATAAAAAGTAAATACTAAAGTTGTAAATTTTTTTGAAACGTATTGGAAGGTCGTGAAAAGAACAAAATTTGAGTGATTTAATAAGAAAATTGGAAGAGGTGCTATTCTATAAGAAATTTTGGGTTCATATAAGACTGCTTTCGAGGAATAGTAAACAATTTAGAAAAAATTAAAATTGTAAAAAAAATTTCAACGTACCTACTACATTCTATTTTGCACAACACAAAATGTGCTTTATTTTTGTATCTCTTAACTGTACCATGGTGCTCTGTGATAGTTGAAAGAATTTGATTGAGCCCATTTCATTAAATCAACCAGTTCGTTTAATGCACCATCCAAATGCAGAACAACAAATGCAGCAGTCGGCATTTCAAGTACAGTCGATTAATTTTTATTGATTCGCATATGAAAAACATTTTACTGCTACCACTTAATTGTATTCCTAAACAAATAAAAAATCTATGCTTTTTTTTTTTTTTAGCTTAGTTTTTTTTTTTGGATCACTTTTTATTAGTCTAACAATAAGGTTGCAAATCTTAAATTATTAATACAATATCTAACAGTTTGTTTTGAACTGAATAGAGACTACGTGGTCCTAATAATTATCGGGAGGTCGTTGCGGCGAAGACGAGAACTGCTGGAAACTCGCGTGAGGGCTCTCGCGATATTATTTGGATGTACTGATAGCCTGTTGTAGTACTTTGTTT